GATTTAATTAGGTAGAGATAATCAGGGAAAGATCAATGCCAAGAGGTTTAGTCAAGGACCAGCTGGTAGAAAGGATCCTCATTATTCCAGTCAACCCAGCTGTAAATGGGTACAGATAATCTGGGAAAGATCAATACCAAGAGGTTTGGTCAAGGACCAGCTGGTAGACAGGATCCTCATTATTCCAGTCAACCCAGCTGTAAATGGGTACAGATAATCTGGGAAAGATCAATACCAAGAGGTTTGGTCAAGGACCAGCTGGTAGACAGGATCCTCATTTATTCCAGTCAACCCAAATGGGTACAGATAATCCGGGAAAGATCAATGCCAAGAGGTTGGTCTTAAAAGAAAACCTCGAGATTCCATTTTTCACCTCATTGTGTACTTCTAGATGTTGGTCGGTTCGCTTTTTAAAAAAAATAAACTAGGTCATTTACATCTTGTTTTTATTGTAGCTTCTGTCAGATTTTATGGTGGGCACAGGAACCAGTGAAGTGTTGAAGTCACATGTTGTGTTCGATACAGCCTATTCCTACGTATTCAAGTATAAATCATGGAACGACTATCTACCACCTTGGAGGGGTAAGACACTTTTCTTTTTTTTTATAATTTTTGTATTCACCGAGGCATTTTTCAAGTCTACCCCTCGTTAATTGATAGTTCAGTGAGGTGGACATTGGGTATCCTTTTTTTCCCACAATTCTTTTCCATGATGCCTTATTTCACAATACTTTTTATCCCATGATGCCTTTTTATCCACCTTTTTCCTAAATCCTTTATATTATGCCTTCTTTCCACTATGCCTTTTTCCTCAATCCTTTTCACGATGCCTTGTTTCTTTGATCCTTTTCCATGATGCCTTTTTTCCACCATCCTTTTTCATGATGCCTTTTTTCCACCATCCTTTTCCATGATGCCTTTTTTCCACCATCCTTTACCATGATGCCTTTATCCACAATCCTTTTCCATGATGCCTTATTTCCACCATCCTTTACCATGATGCCTTTATCCACAATCCTTTTCCATGATGCCTTTTTTCCACCATCCTTTACCATGATGCCTTTATCCACCTTTTTCCTAAATCCTTTATTTTATGCCTTCTTTCCACTATGCCTTTTTCCTCAATCCTCTCCATGATGCCTTGTTTCTTTGATCCTTTTCCATGATGCCTTTTTCCACCATCCTTTTCCATGATGCCTTATTTCCACCATCCTTTTTCATGATGCCTTTTTTCCACCATCCTTTTCCATAAGCCTTTTTTCCACCATCCTTTACCATGATGCCTTTATCCACAATCCTTTTTCATGATGCCTTTAATCCACCATCCTTTTAATCCTCAATCCTTTTCCACGATGCCTTTTTTCCACGTGTTTTTTTCCATCCTTTTTCATGGTACCTTTTTTCCACAATGCCTTATTTCCACCATCCTCTTTCCACGATGCCTTTTATCCATGTGTTGTTTTCCACAATGCTTCTGTTCGATTTCCAGGTGTAGCAATGGGACAAGACCTCCAGTATATATTTGGTTTCCCGTTCTGGAATGAGACGTACGTGAATCTCACTGGTCTGATGCCTAGACAGGAGTATGATTACGCTGACAGAAACATCAGCCATTACATGATCAATCTTGTTACTAATTTTACATCACGAGGGTGAGTAGTAGGTCTCTAAGATACTATTTCCAGTTCTGTTGTACTGCTGAAAAGCATTTGTGGATGGGTTGTACCACAGTCAGTTAGCATGTTCGAATCTTAATTGTTTGGTTGTAACATCAAAAATTGATGGTTGTGGGTTCTAATTTTGGTCACCTTTTGAAAGTGTGGTGACCTTGAATAAGTCATCTTTCCACATTACTGTAGTCGGCCCAGCTGTAAATTGGTATAGATAACCAGAAAAGAGGTCTGGCCAAGGATCAGCTGGTAGAAAGGATCCTTAACCGTGAACCTAAGTTGTTATCCTTGTTAAATTAATGCCAAGAGGTTTGACCAAGGACCAGCTGGTAGAAAGGATCCTCATTATTCCAGTCAACCCAGCTGTAAATGGGTACAGATAATCCAGGAAAGATCAATACCAAGAGGTTTGGTCAAGGACCAGCTGGTAGAAAGGATCCTCATTATTCCAGTCAAACCAGCTGTAAATGGGTACAGATAATCTGGGAAAGATCAATGCCAAGAGGTTTGACCAAGGACCAGCTGGTAGAAAGGATCTTCGTTGTTGACCATATAAAATATAGTTGTTTCTTTTTTAATTTTAATTTTCATGATATTTTTTTCCAGAGATCCGACGCCAAGAGATCAACCAATCATTCAATTCCGTAACGCCTCTTGGATCAGCTATAATTTACAGAATCACAGCTACCTGAGCATCACCAACAAATCTGAAAATCCCATAAATTTTAGACAGAAGGAGTATGCTTTCTGGATGGAGTACTTCCCTAAATTATCTGGACGAGATCCAAGTAAGTCGTGGTTAAAGGGACGAGGGCGCCAATTTTTGACCAATCATATTTAAGCTTCAGAAATGGAATTTTTTAGCTAAGCTAATCAGTAATAGTGTTCACAGCTCACTGTCGAAATTTGAGTCTTCAAATCCATGTGTGTCTAGAATTATCTGTGTTTGAATGTTAAAATGACGACTCGTCTTTTCTTGAGACACTGTCATATATAGAAAAGACATCTATAGAAATAGTGAGTAAAATTCCTAGTTTGAGATATTTTTAAGGGAATTATGTGATTTTCGTACATTTCTAGTACTTCTGAAGACTATTTACGTATATTCAAAACTCAAATCAACCCATCTGTCGCTGTGCCACACAACTACACAAAAATAGTTCATCCAGCCCATAATCTGCTCCCGTTGAATTCAGTTGATGTTGATTATAATTTTGTTTCTTTACAGTTTATGGAGTGACAGTGGCGCCAATAATTCAAGAAACTTCAGAATTTGAAATGGCAACGTGGTCCTTAACAGCAGGAGTGGCGCTGCTATCTATCGTGGTGCTGTCATGTTGTGTTCTCATGTGTAAACGATCACGGACGAAAAACTACTGACCTTAATTTGAGCGCTGGAATTTCAGGCACCAGATTTTGAGTTTCAGGAACTTATGGAAATATAAGGCACAAGTAGTCTTGAAACATGTTCAAGGAGTAGAATTTGATTAAATTCATGGACTATGGATTGACGATACATTTTGAGAATGCAAAATTCTTATTTTGAGAATCTACATTCTTATTTTAGGATCCACATTCTTATTTTGAGAATCCAAATTCTTATTTTGAGAATCCAAATTCTTATTTTGAGAATCCAAATTCTTATTTTGAGAATCCAAATTCTTATTTTGAGAATCCAAATTCTTATTTTGGGATCCAAATTCTTATTTTGAGAATCCAAATTCTTATTTTGAGAATCCAAACGGGGACAATTTGGTACCTGAAATCAAACAGTGTTCTTGTGAAGCCTTGAACTTCCAGCCATCAAGTAAAACCAGTGGTTATTTTACATACCGGTATCTAGGACTGGATGTCATTTCATTATTCCAAAGACAGTTAAAATGAATTCCAGTGCTATCACCTGACCTCACTCTACAGCAATCTATTTGGAGTTCATGTTTTCATTCTATTTAAGGGATTGTAAAGATGTTTTCTGCTAATAATATCCGAGGGCCTTTATCACAAAGACACAAGCATATTTTGCAATTAGTGATGTCATTAAACGCTTAGTTTAAGTGGAATTACAGGAACCACAGATGTCTGATTGAAAATTAGAATGGTGCAAATTGATGCTATCAGTGTCCCTGATACATATAAAAAATTTAGAAAAACTCTTTGCAATCCCTTTAAGCTTGTGAATATGAGGAATCATTTTAATTTTTGTATATTTTTAATTTTAATTGTAAATAATCATTCATTCATTCAATCATTCTTCATTCATTCTTCACATAATTTTAATATTTTTTCATTCATTCATTCATTCATTCATTTATAAAAAGCCTTAACAATGTATGTTTTCCCTAATTTTTGCACTAGCTGATGTCAATATGCAAATCAGGCACGGAACCTTATTCTGAAAAAATTAACTTAAAGATGGGTTCCCTTATTTTTATTTATGAAAATGAAAATGCTAATACTTATATGAATAGACAATAGAGGTGTTTTAATGACTTGAAAAAATACCAGTTTGTCTCACATGTCCATAATTAATTCATAATTAGCTAAATTAGAAGAGAATTACCAGCAGAATTCCAATGAGTGACCAATCAAGAAAGGTTAAAAAGTATTTTTTTGTTTATCCAGACTGTACATACTTGGACATTTATGATTGGTTAAAACTCTTAATTATATGCAATAAGAACATAATGATATGATTAAGAATACATGATAATTCATTAGACACACCAATTAATCAAATAATTTGCTTAATTTGACACTAAAATTTGAGGTAACCTATCTGTAAGATGAATTTCGTGTTCCAGTCATCTGATTGGTCAAATTTGATTTTAAATTTTGTTTGATTATCC